TCCCCCTCCTTTCCAAGGGGGGGAAGAGGAGGAAGAATTATCCCAGTGCGACCCTACCTAGGAGTTGGAGCCACTCGGAAAGCAACATTAGTAGGAGCGGTAAACGCCGTCCTCCTCCTTCTCCTCATCGTCGTAGTTGTAGCAGTAGCGTAGTAGTAGTAGTAGTAGTAGTAGTAGTAGTAGTAGTAGTAGTAGTAGTAGTAGTAGTAGTAGTAGTAGTAGTAGTAGTAGTAGTAGTAGTAGTAGTAGTAGTAGTAGTAGTAGTAGTAGTAGTAGTAGTAGTAGTAGTAGTAGTAGTAGTAGTAGTAGTAGTAGTAGTAGTAGTAGTAGTAGTAGTAGTAGTAGTAGTAGTAGTAGTAGTAGTAGTAGTCGTAGTAGTAGTCGTAGTAGTAGTAGTAGTAGTAGTAGTAGTAGTAGTAGTAGTAGTAGTAGTAGTAGTAGTAGTAGTAGTAGTAGTAGTAGCGCCAGAACCGCCGACGCCACGCCGTAAGTGAAGCAGCAGCAGAAGCAGGCAGCAAGTCGCCGAGACAGCAGCAAAAGCAAGCAGGCACGGAGATGAGGGCGGGGCACTGGGGAGTTCTTTACATCTACATCTATATATACACCTACATCTACATCGACACCTACATCTGCATCTAGACCTACAACAGTGGATGCTGTGCTGCGCTATGCTATGCTATGCTCTGCTCTGCTCTGCTCTGCTATGCTATGCTATGCTATGCTATGCTATGCTTTGCTGCGCAATGCGATGCTGGGCTAGGCTAGGCTAGGCTAGGCGAGGCTATGCTATGATATGCTGCGCTACGCAATGCTGCGATATGCTATGCTATGCTATGCTATGCTTTTGCTTTGCCTTCGCTTTTGCCTTCACTTTTGCCTTTGCTTTTGCTTTTGCTTGGCACCCAGGGAACGCAACTGGGGGAACCGCGCGTTTGCTTTTACCTGTGCTGTTGCTTTCGCTTGGCTCCCAGGGGACCGGGGGAACCGCCCGGGGCGATTTACACTGCCCGGCCCCTTCAAGATAGAGAGTAAGAACTCTTCTAGGCAGAGCCTAGGTAGGGAACACACGAAAAGGGAGAGGAGAAAGAAAAGGACATGGAAGGGATTCGTGGAGGGAAGGGAGAGAAGAGTGTGGGGGGCCATGTCTGAAGGTATGGGGCCTTATGTGGCGCTCTGCGAGCTGAGAATTGTGCAAGGTGGGAGTGGGCGGGTGGGTGGCGCGGTGGCGTGTGTGTGAATGTGTTGTGTGTGTTGTGTGTGTTGTTTGTGGTGTGTGTGTGTGATGTGTGTGTGTGCTGTGTGTGTTGTGTGTTGTGTGTTGTGGTGTGTGTGTGTGTGTGTTGTGTGTCGTGTGTGTTGTGTGTGTGTTGTGTGTGTTGTCTGTTGTGTGTGTTGTGTGCGCGTGTGTGTGTCGTGTGTTTTGTGTGTTGTGTCGGTATGTGGTTGCGTGTGTGCGCGCGTATGCGTGTGTAAGTTTATGCGATTATGTGTGTGAGCGCGTGTGTGTGAGTGCGTGTGTGTGTGTGTGTGCGTGGGTGTGTGCGTGCGTGCGTGCGTGCGTGCGTGCATGCGTGCGTGCGTGCGTGCGCGTGCGTGCGTGCGTGCGGGTATGCATGCGTGTGTGTGTGTGTGTGTGTGTGTTGTGTGTGGTGTGTGTGTTGTGTGTGTTGTGTGTGTCGTGTGTCTTGTGTGTGTTGTTGTGTGTGTGTGTGAATGTGTGTGTGTATGTGTGTGTGTTGTGCGTGTGTTGCGTGTGTGTTGTGTGGTGTGTGTGCGTGTGCGTTTGCGTGTGCGTGTGCGTGTGTGCGTGCGTGCGTGCGTGCGTGCGTGTGTGCGTGTGTGCGCGTGTGCGCGTGTGCGCGTCTGCGCGTGTGCGCGTGTCCGTGTGTGCGTGTGCGTGTGTGTGTGTGGGTGTGTGGGTGTGTGGGTGTGTGGGTGCGTGGGTGTGTGGGTGTGTGGGTGTGTGGGTGTGTGGGTGTGCGGGTGAATGGGTGTGGGTGTGTGGGTGTGTGGGTGTGTGTGGATGTGTGTGGGTGTGTGTGTGTGCGCGGGTGTGTGTGTGTGGGTGTGTGTGGATGTGTGTGGGTGTGCGTTTTTGGTGCCTTGGTGCCTCGGCAGCCTGGGGCGTCGACACCTCTCCAGGCCCATGCGCTGGGCCCTCGAGCGACCCTCAGCCGCCTTCCGAGCCTGACAGGGCCGAGTTGCGGGCCGCGCCCCCGCCAACTCCCCAGGGTGCCGAGCGCGGTGGCCCCACCGAGGCCGCGCCCCACCCTAGGCCCCTCAGCCTGGTGCCAAGGGGGGCCGAGAAAATATGCGCCGCGCCCAGGCCACCCGCAACGCGGGAAGAGAGGCCCGCGCGCCCCGAGCGGCCACCCCGCCCAGGCCCCTCAGCCCACGGACGCCGCCGCGCCAAGGAGGGCCGAAACGCACAACAGAGAGACCATTCAGATCATTGAACGAGCACAACGGCCTCAACACAGATCCTTGCCCGCCTTTGGGCCTTGGCCTCGCCTGATGCGGAGGAAACGCCACAGCGTCCACGATCCCAGAATCCCAGGGATCGAGCCGCCTGCAGGGTCCGCCGATGGCCCTGGCGATCGAGCTGCAGTAACCACACACGCGCACACCCCGAACGCAACGCCGACCTGGACGGCGTGAGAAGAGGCCCCCGCCGTAGCCGCACCGTCGCCCAGGTCCAGGGAGCAGGCGAGCTCGTCCTTGTCCCCCCGACCGACGCCGACACACCGAACAGGGTGGGCCAACTGTGCTGAACTGCGGATCCGCACGACACAGTGCACGCAGAGGGCCTCGAACTCTTCGCCGTTGTCGTAGCCGCGGGCTTGCTCCTGAGCCCGAACCGCCACACCTCCACCTTGATTGTCGGAACCCGAGGAGAGCGGCCCGTAGACCCACTGATGCCGCGGAGCTGGTGCGGGTGGAGCGCGGTCCCCCGGCAAGCTCCTGAAGCGCACCCTGAACAGGTGCCACGCGCCGAAATGATGCCGCAGGGCCGTCGTTTCTGTCTGCTGGTTGAGTCCGAGTCGGACCTCATCCCGGCAAGCTGTGCCTGTCTAGCAGGCTCCGCCCACGTCCAGGGCGTGGCGCACAGGTCGACGACGGTCTGCCGCAGCGTGCGCCCAGGGTTGCTCCTGAGGAGGTGCTCTCGGACGGGGGCCCAGGCGGCGGCGCCCACAAACACCTCCAGGTACTCGGAGCACCACGCGCAGTAGTCCCGCTCGTTGAGGTGGACGTCCAGGTCGAACCTGTCCATTGAGAAAGACGCCCAAACCACCGCGTCGTCTGTGATCGACCCCACGTGGTGCTCTGGGACGAGCTCGGGGGCGGCACGCCCATGCACCCAGGCCCGTCTGGCAATGCCTTCATCCTGCTCAAGGCCGCCCTGGCTGCTGCCACTGGCCCCCAAAGGACCTGAGCAGGCGGCCCCTGCGGGGGGGTCTGGTCTGTCACGCGCAGCTCCTCGTCGTGGGCCTCGTGGTCTGGGCGCTGGCGCACGGCGCGGCCAGTGGCGCCAGCTGCCACCAGCAGGGGGACAGCCACACTTCCCCTCTTGACGGCACTCTTGACGATCTTAGCCTGGAGCCCTTGGAGTCGACCACGACCTTCTTGCAGCTGAACGGCCGACAGCTGGGTGCGCGCCACCTTGCCACCGTTGACGCACTTGTGGTATCCCCGACAAGCCTCCAGGACGCGTGGCTGGTTGGGCGCCGCCTCGGGGCGGGCTGTCGGGGGCGCGTAAGCGCTCTGCTGCTGCAGCCGAGGGCGAGGCACGGCCCGCTTGGCCTCGCCGAGGAGGGCCCTGAGAGGATCACAGTACTCCAGCATGCGCTTGGTGGCCTTGAGCTCCTGCTTGAGCTGCGACACGACCCCCTCTGGCGGCGCGCTGAGGTCCGCCCTTCCTTTAACCCGAACGTATGCGAAGTGACTGTGCCTCCTGTGAATGAGCCCTTGCGAACCAGGTAAGTCGCCCTCCAAACGCTGCTTGAGGGACTGGCGCCGCTCCACGCCGATCTGCCGTTCCAGGTAGGAGGCATGGTGACTGCACCACAGATGCCAAGCTGAGAGCTCCCGCACATCCCCGTGCTGCCTCTCGCGGGAGGTGAAGATTTCAAAGAGATTCTGCAGCTCCTCGATACCTTCCAGCAACACGCAGTGCCTCAGACGATCGCGCAAGTTGCGGATGGAGGCGCTCTGCTGCTGAAGCATGAGACAGACATCTCGAAAAGTGGGAACCGCGTTGTACGCTGTGAGCTGGTCCCGCACTGAGGCGGACGTCGTGCTGCGGCCGCACTGCCAGTAGTAGAGCTGCATGGTGCCGAAGTCGTTGTAGTCGACGCCGAGCTGGCAGTAGGGCGCGTCCGCCTGGCCCGACTTGAAAGGGGGCTCCTGCTAGGGGGATCCGCCGAGCACCGCTTGGTTGACCGCGTCCGCGTGGTGCTGCAACCAGCCGCCCTGCTTGCGCCTCTTGATCCGCTGCCGCGCGGGCGGCAGCCAGGGCGCAGGAAGGAGCGCAACTCGATCTGGCTTGGCCGCTGCCCACTTAGCTGGGGCTCGGCTACGGGCTGCGTAGAGGAGCGCCACCTCCACCGACTTGGGACCCACTTGCAGCATATCGAGGTGGACGTCGGCGCCCTGTAGCCCCCCCCCTCGCGGCGGAGGAAAAAATCGTCGCACTTGGCCAAATCGGCCAGCATAGTAGCGGCACGGGTGCCCGTGCCAAGGACCAGCTCCTCGTCCAGGAGCGCCTTCCACAGCGCTTTCTCTGACGATGGCCCAGCTGCCGTGTAGTCGTAACCCGCGGGGCGTGCTGCCCCTCACCGTCTCATGGAGGGGAGCTGCCAGGCCTCCCAGACTCTGCCTGGGCAAGGCCACACGATGGGCCGCCCACCGCCGCAAAGCTTTCCAATGATGCAGGCGAGCAGAAGGGGCACACGCGACGGCCACGTTGAGCGCTCCAGATGCCCAGGGAGGTTCTCCCAAACCGCGACGCCGATCAAAGGTAGCTGGAGCTTGACCACCCACACGACGAAACCGGCCAAACTAGCCACGTTGCCCACAGGCGAAAACCTCTGACCAGTAACGCAGTAAGCACTATAGAGCAAGAGCTCGCCACTGTGTTTGGCTTCGATCGTGGCCACCCAAAGCCTGCCCGCACCTCCTGGGGGAGAGATGCCCCAGTGTCGCTGCTCGGGCGCAAGAGTGACGCTGACACATGCAGGCACAGCATGCAAGACGCCCACCGAGTCGCGCCCGCTCGGTCCGTGGGCGGCTGGAACTGGCAGGGCCCTCCATCCCAGCTGGTGCACCCTCGCGCTCTCCTCGGCCCACAAGTGTCGCTTGCCGTGATCCTGGAAAGCCTTGAACAGAAACCTGCCCTCGGACCTCTGCTGGTCTGCCGCGCCCTGGAGGCACGCCACGCCGTTACCCCAACTGAGGCTGGCGTTGAGGCTGTGGAAGGTGAAGGGCCTGTTGCTGCGCCGCCGTCGGGAACCCTTCCGTGCCCCTGCTGCTGGTGGCTGGTATGGCCTGCCACCGCTGTCCTCGCTGATGGCCGTCAAGTTCGCCTCGCTCTGCCCGTCAACATCCAGGCAGCCTCCTCCAGGTTGGGCAGGGCCAGAGAGACCCCCCTCTGTAGTAGACTGCGTCGCCCTGCCTGAGAACAAACCCTCTGCGGTGCGAGCACCTCCAAATGAACGCCTGCCAGAGGGAGCCGCTGAAATCCGCTGGGCCCCCGTGCGAGAGAGACCACCAGCTGAGATACGATGGTAATCACCAGGGAGAGCACCGCACAAACCTCCAGCAGGGTCGTGGCCGGGGCCGGGCTCCTGGGCCTCCAGCGTCACGGACTGCCGATGGGAACCTCCGGGCCGAGCGCCAGGGGCGATGACTGGGGGGGGCTGGAGACCACAGCCTGACACGCCACCGTCGTCTGAGGCACGCCGACCCTGGGCAGGCGGCGGGGCCTCGCCAGGGCCGTCTGGGAAACCATCGCCTGAGAAACGTTGGGCGCTTTCAGGTGGAACTGCTGCCTGAGCTGGTGGCCCACCGTCGTCTGGGGACAGTGGGCCCTTGGCGAACTGGGGGGCCTGGGCGGTAAGGAGGCTCCAGCACTGTAGGTTGGCGTCCCAGACCATGCTGTGGTTGGCCTCCTTCTCGTTGGCGGCCTCCTCAGCTGCCTGCCAGTCATCCACGCTCTGCCGTAGAAGTCGCCTGTAGACGATGCTCCACGGACGACTCCAAGCATCGTCGCACAACTCCTGAGCGAAACTCCCCCTCTCTGCGGTGCGCGCGCCGCTGCCTGGGGCTGCCGCCAGGTCGTCCAGCATGTCGGTGTACTCCAGGGAGCCCCGCTGGTGGAAGATGTAGGAGACCGAGTTCCAATGGCGGCTGTCCTGAGGGGAGGCTCCCAGGCGCGGTGCGAGGCACCACCGCCTCGCCCTGCGCCGCCTGCGGGTGGCCAGGATGCCCTGCTCGCGCCTGCCCATGCGGGCCAGCCGTGGCGCGCTGGGCCTGGCCCCTGGCTCACCTCCTGGGCACCACGTGGGAGGCTCACGCAGTGACGTCCGCTGGGACGGGTGTGGCTTGGGCCAGCTC